CGCCATGAATTCGGGGAGCATGGTGGAGTTAACATGTCCATTGAAGCCTCTGCCACCTTCACCGTCATGGAACCTGAGACCATGCGTCGCATGTTTGCCGGGGAACTCGGCCCTGATCGTGATTTCTTCATTTACAGCCGTCACTTCAACCCCACCGTCTTAAATCTCAGTCGTCAGATGGCAGCCCTGGAAGGAACCGAAGCTGCCTATTGCACTGCTAGCGGTAATCCATATATATGGGGCGTAATATGTCTGTTTAACCTTTTATGTTACATGTAAAAATCGTCAATTTTGTGGTTAACAATTTGATTCCGTGATCATAGGTATGTCTGCTATATCATCCGTTTTGTTGCAACTCTGCAGCAGCGGGGGACACCTGGTGGCATCGAGGGCGCTCTACGGTGGGACTCATGCGCTTCTAACCCATTTCTTGCCTAGAGCCTGTAACATCACGACCACGTTCGTGGACATATGCGATTACGAAGCGGTGAAAAATGCCATAGTCGAAGGACGAACAAAAGTTTTGTACTTCGAGTCCGTGTCAAATCCCACGCTCACCGTAGCCAACATTCCGGAGCTTAGCAGGATAGCGCACGAAAAAGGAGCCATGGTGGTTGTAGATAACACCTTCGCTCCCATGGTTCTTTCCCCTGCTCGGCTTGGAGCTGATGTGGCTGTCCATAGTATCTCCAAGTTCATCAGCGGTGGGGCCGATGTTATTGCAGGTTTGTTTGTCGTGTGTTTCTCATTTACCGTACACGTGTCAGACATTATTTTACATTTTTATGTTGGAAATAGTGCCATCAAAGACGTGTGATCCTGTGATTAATCAAGTTAACTAGTGGAATCTAGGACATTGATTTCAGAGTTTTGATGAAAAATGACTTCAACAAAAAACATCCACAAAGTTACTTCAGTCGATAAGAGAGATTCTTTTTTATAATCAATGGGAAAACATTATTAGGGCTAGTGGGGAGCAACTTATCTCGTTAATGATGCTATTACTGATCACTTGCAAAGCAGCCAATAATTATGCAAAACTTTTTCTCGTGTTTATGCTTTAATAAATAGTTAAGTTTCGTTTTCTAGCTAGCTTTTATGGCTGATAAGGATATTCTCCTGCAATTTCATTAATTTTCAAATTTTCATCGGCAAGATCATCATCGTGCATGTGAGGTGTGCGTTTCCATTGTCCTTTCCTTTTTCTCTTATAGATAAGCTTTCATGTGATGTATTTTGTCTTTTGTATTTTTCTGATAAATTCTGTACACCTAGTCTAAGTTTCAAGGCCTTAAATTTGACATTTCTTGTTGAAAAGTAAAAGTATCTCTCTTCTACACTTTTTTTAATAATATTTTGTCCTAATGTTTTACCCAGCTAACTTCTTGGCAAAACTAGCTTGCCAAAACCATTAGTTCTTGTTAACTATGAATATCAGTTGATTGATTATTGGAACGCACAGTCCTTAACAGAGTATCGTGGAAGTTTATCCCCGATTTTGTTAATCCATCAAAATGGCAATTTTCAGGTGCTGTTTGTGGTCCTGCAAGCCTGGTGAACTCCATGATGGACCTTCGTCAAGGTACTCTTATGCTTCTAGGCCCGACCATGAACGCCAAGGTTGCCTTTGAACTCTCTGAAAGAATTCCTCACTTGGGCCTAAGAATGAAGGAGCACTGCCGCAGAGCCATGGATTATGCGACTAGAATGAAGAAATTGGGCCTCAAGGTCATATACCCAGGGCTTGAGGATCACCCTCAACACCAGCTATTGAAGTCTATGGCCAACAAGGAATATGGGTTTGGTGGGCTTCTTTGTGTTGACCTGGAATCTGAAGAAAGAGCTAACAGGCTGATGCACCACTTGCAGAACTATACTCAATTTGGGTTCATGGCGGTTAGCTTGGGTTACTACGAGACTCTCATGTCTTGTTCTGGTAGTAGTACCAGTAGTGAAATGAACGCTGAAGAGAAGGCCCTAGCCGGCATTTCGCCTGGGTTGGTGAGGATGTCCATTGGATACATTGGGACACTGGAGCAGAAGTGGAGCCAATTTGAAAAGGCGCTCTCTAGGATGCAGGATTCCACCTTATTTAACAAAAACTAAAGTTCTCTACTGTTCAATAATGGGTTACTCGTAGTTCATGTAAGGAAGGTGTCTTTGGTGTAATTTCAGTTGTTAAATGCTGGATCTTTTGCTTAATATAATGTTTCTTTAAAGAAAGAAAAAAAACTTGAACTTCAACTAGATGCAACAAATTGAGAACAAAATTGAAAATAAAATATACTATAAGTCACGATATGGTTACACGACTTGGAGTCATTGACGATAAAGATAACTGTCCATGCCATTGCCTTCTCTTTTCAATTTGATTTTGCCCGTATTAAACGCTGAGATTTTGTTATCTTCCTAGCATTTGTGTCCAACAGAGTAGAAGAATCCCTGAACCCACTATCTAGTGGGTATATATGACCCGATGGTCTTTTCTTCTGTAACCTTCCTGCCGTCGTGCCCTTAAATTATACTATTCCATAGCCCACAGTTAAATATTTAACTGAAACCCAGGACTCGTTCAGGCCACTGTTTAGCCGCAACCAACTGTATGAAGTTACGGATTCCATGGCCCCGATAGTTTTTGTTTTGGGGCTTGAAACCCAAATAAATGAAACTGATCGAGGCTTTTCTACAGTTTCAATGTTTTGGTAAACGTAAATGATAAATCATATTCAAAGGAAAATTTAAATAAAATATTTATTAACTAAAAAAGTGCATTATTTATTAACTAACGATAACTACTTTTTTATAGTTTTTTCCTGAGAGAAATAACTTCCTGAAGAGATTTTATCATTCAATTTCTAATCCTATTTGTGATTACCTAAAAATTCTTCATATATTGAAGGAGAAGGAAAAAATTTTCAAGGTCAATACTTATGAATATATTTTGAGTAAATAAATTCAATTTCTTTTATTTTCTTGAAACAAATAATTTCAATCATTCATTGTTTCATTTAAAATATGAAAAATAATTTTTTTTTATATTTTAAAACTCGATGAATCCCTATTACATAAAATTTTAAAAAATTTATATATGTATCTTCAATTAGATTACAATAATTGAATATCTTTATCAATATTTACAATATATATTGTAATTCAAAGATTTTAATTTAGTTCACTTGTTGTGTTTAGGCATATATCTTTTTAATGATTCGTTTGGTACAATATATTTGTTTTTTTTTTTTTTTAATTTAAGGTGATAGGTATAAAGTTCACCCTAAGTTGTATAATAACAATATGATGAGATTAAATTGTTTTGTTGTTGGTTCAATTAATTATTGGACTTTTTTTGCAAAAAATCATGATCTATACATAAAGAGTGGTAGAGTATTTAACTATTTTTATTTTGATAATATTTAACTATTAATATCTGTTTTTATATGTTATAATGTATAGATCAGTGAACCTATTATTAGACATAATAAAAAGATTCGTTACTAATCTTTTTTTATTTAGGTGTAATTTACCACTTAACTAAACCTGTTTCATTTTAAAAAGAAGTTTCAAACTTAATTTAAATATCTCTAAAAGTTAGATTCTAGTCTACGAAACTAGAACTAAGTCAAAGAGTATAGTTATGGTTGAGAAATGTTATAGCAAACATGGATATCTTTAAAAGGTAGATTTTAGTCTACGAAATCAGAACTAAGTCTGAGAGTACGGTTACGCGTGAGGAAGGTTATAGCATCATCACAATGCTCATATAATAAATGGTATTAGCTGATTTCATGTAATCCAAAGCCTTAAAACGTTTTTAAAATTTACCAAATAATTTATTCCTTCAAAATCAATAAAATCTTTCAATAATTTGGTAAGATTTTATTTTAAAATTTAAATCCTTTAACAATTTGATAGGATTAAAAAATTTATAAATTTCATTTTTTTAAAAAAATTATAATTAAATATTCTAATAATTGATGATACTTTTGAATTTTATAAATTATATGCTATTGGTATGTGTTTTGGAGTTCGTAAAGGTAGCAGTAGGCGTGATAAAAATGGTGTTATAATTATGAAGGATTTTGCTTGTTCCAAAGAAGGAATGATGTGAAAAATCTTGCAAACGTATAGGCTGTTAAGTAATAATAGAGATTATATAGTCTAAATGTTGATCTCTTGAGAATTAGTTAAATAACTAATAACCTAAACACCTGTTATCCTTAGTCCCTATCTAAAGTTGGTTTGATCAATTAAAGGCGATAAAAAATATATATTTCTACAAAATTAATACTGAAAATCAAGTAAGGAAACAAATCATAAAAGAAATTGAGCTAAGAAAATAAAATGTAAATTAAAAAAGATTTCACAAAAAAAATTCCAAAAAAGCAATAAAATGCAAAGCTAAAAAAAATAAAATAAAAAAAATAGTGATATATTCACATGCAAATTGTACTTAAAATTCTAAAAAGAAAAATTTTTGGAAATGAACTCTATACAAACCAACACTTATCATGAACTTCCTACATTGACTTTGTAACTAAAACAATTCTAAAGTGACATTTAAATCTTAAGTATGTAGCCTAAGTGAACCACTAATATCAAGTACCCTAAACAAAATCTAAAAAAGAGCAATTGTATACATGTAAATCATGTGGAAAAGGAACTTTGAAAAGAAAACAAATGCAAATTGAGACTGATTTTTCTCCTATTGATGAAGTAATTAACCTATGCAAATCTTATATGAATAACTACCTATAGATTTATATGAAGAATGCGAAAACATAAAAATTTGCAAATAGAAGGCAATTAATGATAACAGAACCCCCATTCACCTGATTCACACTAGAACACGCAACAAAGTTGAATTTCTACAATGTATACATAAGCTTAGTCCAAATGCATTATGTGTGAACAAATAAAGAACTAAATGAAGAAGTAAAATTCCTTAACAAACTTGAATAAATAAATGAATAAAAATAGACCATAAATGAAAATGTGGTTCATGTATGCAATGTCTTACATGAACAATAAATGAAATTGAGTTATGTTATGCCAGTGAGTTGCTTTTCTAAACTAAACCAAAGGAACCTATTTTTATATGGAGATTAGGAAAGTAAGTAAATGATGCAGAGAACAGATTTAAAATGTAGCAAAAATTAAAAGAAACAATAAAATACTGATGAGTAAGAAATCTGTCAAGTTACGCATGGATTAATTTGTATAAATCTAAAAAAAAATTCAGCAATTGATAATAACTTGTAAGAACTCTTCAATTGCACTAAGAACATCAATTTTGACAAGTTTCTAACAAGAATCCATAAGCAAATCACACAGATCAAATGTAAGAGCAACTCAACAAAGTTAATCATGAAATAGTTACTACTATATCTTCACATATTTTATTTATCACTCAATGATCTAAACATCATCTATCTTTATGTGAAATCAAAGGATTCAATCAATATTTATCAACTAAAACATAAGTCTATAGATCTAAGAAGAAAAGAGAACAAATAGAGCTTCAAGAGGAAAGCGAATCCATGCCAAAGAGGAGTGTTGCGTCTGGCAATTGCAATTGTTCCAACCACACTTTCAGCCTTGATTTGATCTCTTTGCTTCAAAATTCAATCTAAGTTTTATCTATGTTGTGATTATGTATCTTAAGAACCTGTAGAAAAAAAAATCTGGACAAAAACTAATAGGTTTTGATACATTTCAATGCAAAAACCATATTTAATTCAACTTGAACAATATCACAAACAAGTGGAAAAGTAATTGTATAAACATTGTTTTGAGCTAAAAAAACAAGTGATCTTCAAATTTTATTGTAAGATTTGAAAAGAGCATAAGAAAATACATCAAAACATTTAATTTGGAAGTAAAATGTAATGAAAAAAACTAAAGAACAAAGTTTTTTAGAAGCTACGAAAATAGAAAAGTAAATACAGGAAATAAAACTAAAAACCTAGGCTAAGCTTCTCTTTAAGGCTAACCCTCTCCTTTATTTATAGGCAAAAGAGAAGGACCTTAAGTGCTTAAAAAAAATCTCTGGAACCTTCATCTCTTGGTGCTCACCTGTGCCATTGCATAACCCTGTGCCATTACATAACTGATGATGGTGCGCGATTAGGTGCTTATACCTGGTTGTTGATGGTGCGCACCTAGGCTCTGTCTTTTCTCCTCTGGTTCCTAGTTCTTTTTTTGCCAATTTGAGCTTATCCAAGTTAGTTTCAATAGCCAATTAAGTCTCTCCATTGTGCTACATTAACTTCTTTCATCTTTTCCAGCTTAGATAACATCCTAGCCTTTTAATGCATCAATGCATCAACGCGTTTTCCTTTCGTTTAATCAATATTTTTTTCTTTTTCTGTAAAAAATTCTCACACTTAATGATTATTTTTATCACACATTTTTACTAAAAAAAAATCTATGAAATAAAACTAGAAAAAATTCAAACAAAGAAAGTTAAGAAACTCCTTAAGTGTTAATGTGATCTATTGACACTAGTTAAGGTCATTTGCACCAAAAAAAAATCCTCCACATTGTGTCCAAATTAGCCAAAATTCTTCATTTTCTTTAATTGTACCTACATATAAGATAATTTTGCTTTTGAAAGTATTTTTTTCATAAAAAACTAAAGAATAAGCTAAAATATAAGTCCAATTACACTAAAATTGAGCATGAAAAAACTAAAATTTAAGTGTAATCAAACCCTCAAACTTAAGTTTTTACTTGTTTTCAAGTAAAACAAGATCAAGGAAGAATCATATTATACTTTTAATGCTTCATTCTACATGAATGTCTCATGGATTGATCAATGGAAATAACTAAAGTAAAATTATGAATAAGTGCTAATATACAAGAATCAAAGGCTAAGATCATTCCTAAATATGGTTCCACAAGTAAGTAACACCTCTCACACGTCATTGCATGAAATCTAGTAATGTTATGCAAAAGATAAAATTTTAATAACAAGGATCAATAAAGCATGCTCATGTTTCATAAGTTTGTTTATCACTTTTCTCTCTACAAATGTAGATAAACACATGATTTGGGATCATTTAGGACTTTATTAAGCTTGTAATGTAAGGCTAAGGTCAATGTATGATAAAAGTCTTTTAGGCTCAAGTACCCTTATAATGCATTACATGTTTAGGATAATTCACCAATGAGCTCTCAAAGCAAGAAACATAAGCTTGAATAAGGAATCACCCCCCTAAACTTTCATTGTACTCATTTTTCTTTTC